CTTGTGTAGTTGGGGTGCATCACTCTCCTGGTGTGGATGAGTGTGTTCACCAGTGCAGAAGCTTTCCAAATCCTATACTGTTGGGAGGCTTCCTCATGTAGGCATGATTAATTATTAACTCCACTTTTAGCTCTTCTTCCCTCCCCAGAAGATGGGGGTGAGGTGGAGCTGAAGATTCCAAGTTTCTAAGCATGGTGGGTCTTTCAGATGACCAGCCCCAACCAGAAGCCACCAGGAACCTACCCACAGTGGCCTTATTAGAACAAAAGATGCTCCTAGTGCTGTTAGCACTTAGGAATTTGTAAGGATTTTAGGAGCTCTGTGTGAGGGACGGGATCAAAGTCCATTAGAACAATAGATGCTCCTGGTGTTCTTATCACTTAGGAAATTACAAGGGTTTTAGGAGCCTTGTGCCAAGAACTGGGGGCAGAGACCAATATACATATTTTCTATTATCTTACACCCCCTCACTGTCCATCCACCATAATCTCCTCTTTTATTAACGTTTCACATTAATTTGGTACATTTGCTATAATTGATGAGCCAATATTGATATAACAGATTAAAGTCCAGAGTTTACATTAGGGACTCTATGCTTTCTTTTTTCTCTCTTCCACTCTATTGGGAAGAAGCAGCATTCTATAAATGCAAGCATGAAACGCTCTGTGTTCAACAGGAAGTCCCTGGATAGCCTTTTTGATACCGCAGCTCTGCAGTTATCTATATTCTGCTTTCCCCTTCTTTTCCAATTCCTGTTCACTCTTCAGCCCACTGGAATTTATCTTTCCTCATTAGTTTACAGATATTGATCTCTCCCAAGAAAACAATTCTTCCCTTACTGCTAAATTCAGGCAATATCTGCTACTCCTTCCTTATTGCATCTGGCTTTTCAGCAGCACAGGACACTAACCCTTCCCCCTTTCTTGAAGTATTATTTTATCATGTCTTCCCAACTTCATGTCCTCTCCTGGTTTCCAGCTACTTCTCTCTGCTGGTTGGTACTTCACTGGCTCCATAGTAGACATTTTCTGAGATGCTCTTACTGATGCCTGCCTTGGTATTCCCGTTGTGTAGCCAGCCACCTCTCTCACTGACCTGGGTTGATCCCCTGATCCGTGTGACCAATAAAATACAGCAGGAGGGAGGGATTGTTATCCCAAGAATCAGTTACAAAAGGCACTATGTTTCCTGTCTCAGGTTTTCCTCCTGCCCCCCAACCCCTACCCACCCCCATCACTCACTTTGGGGAGAGCCTGGTCCTTCAGGAGAACACCTAAGCAGCCCTGTGTGTCCCAAGGAACTAAGTCGTCAGCCAAAAACCAGTGAGGATCTGAGAGCTGTCAACACTATGTAGAAGCCCCAGCGAAGTCTTCAACTGACCTTGGCCCCTTCTGGTAGTCTGACCTCAACGTCATGAGAGACTCTGAGCCAGAACCACCCAGCTCAGCTGCTCCCAAATCTCTGACTCACAGAATCTTTGACATAGCAAATGTTTGAGCTTCCAGGTCTTGGGGTAATTTGTTACACAGCAATAGATAACTTATACAGTCTCCTTAACAGCTTTTCTTTTTCTGGTGGCCTGTAAGTCTTCAGAATTTTATTCAAGCTCTTTCCTCCTCACTTTCCACACTCTCATTCACTTCCTGAGAGGCATTCCCTCTTTGATACCCATGTACCTCCCATTGGCATCTAATCGAATAAGCTAGATTTTCTTACAGAATTCTATGACTTGAAACATCATACATTGATAAATCTTGAGTCCACATGCCAGACCTTCTCCTGAACTTCAGACTTCTGTATCCAGCCACCTACCTAATGGCTGTCTGCCCTTGGATGTCTCATGGGCGCCTCAAACTCGTCTGATCAAATCTGAATCCTTCATCTTGATTTACCACATGTGCTCTCCTCAGTGCTTGCTTTTCTAGGCAGTGACAGCCATCTCCTGCCTACTCAGCACCCTAGAATCCGTGGCTTCATCTCCTCTCCCATCCTCTCCCCCTGCCACTGCTCTCAGATCTGATTATCCTTCTGCCATCGCCTTGGCTCAGGCTACTATTGTTTTTTGTTGGTTTTCTTCCCCCCTCATTTATTGCAAGTCTCCTAACTTCTCTCTCTGCTAGTAGTCTTGCCTAGCTTTCTGTCTTTTCTATTATTCCAAGCAGGTAATCCTTCTAAAAAAGAAAATCTGATTGTGGTGCTGCCTTACTTAAAATCTCTCAAAAACTCCCCCTTTGCTCTTTGGATAAATCCAAACTCATTTAGTAGTTCTAAAGTTTTGCAGGACCTTCCATTCCCTCTCCATCTCCACTGATTAAAACTCAATTTATTTCAGTTTCCCCAGTTTTTATCTTGTTTTCTGTCCTGTACACATTTTTACTCCCACCTCCCCACCCTCCATTCTCCACCTCAGCACTTGAAGTAATTATCTATTTCTCTCTCTCTCTCTTTCTCTGTCGACTGCTTCATAAGGGTTCCATGAAACATCTGCATAATTCACCATTATATCCTCTGGCAAATAGTCAGTGCTCAAATCATATTTGTTGAGTGAATTTATAAAGGCACCTCTTCCCCATGTAGCACTCTCTCTCCCTCCACCTCTATGAGTTTCTGCAGCATTCATCATTTGTCACCTAAAATGTTTTGCATTTACTTATATGATTTTCTAAAAGTATTCAATTTGGCTAGATTCAAGGGATTCACACCTACCCTGTGGCTGGCACTCGAATAATTTTAGGGCAAATGAAGATCACCTTAATCTTCCTCCTAGAGAGGAAGCATCTTGTGGGCAGGTGGGGCCAAGCCCTGGCTATCTGAAGACTTCCCATGGACCACAGACCAAGAACCTGGGAAAGTGGCATAGTAAAATGCTTGGCTTGCAAATCTCAAGCTCTAGATTCAATCTTTGGCACTTACAAACTCTATGAATTTGGATACGTCACTCCACAAATAGGAACTTATTTCCTCATTATGATAAAGATATAGGAATTATAATTTCTTACCTGTCAGAGGTCATCAGTTGTTAGATGCACCATTGATTCCAGAGCAGACCTTGTAGTTGTGTCGGGTGTGGGGGGTGAAAAGCATGATGTTAATTCCCTCTGCCAGTTATAAAATGCATTCTGATTTCATTAATATTAACATGAGCAAAAGTGCTTCTTTGAATTGAGGCCATGTGATATCTATGGGAGTGTTCAGGTGTTCTGAATACAGAAAACCATTGTGTAACTGTGAGATCTGATTATGGCACACTCACATAGATAGTTTCCAAATTAAGAGCTGAGTTGACCTTTTCCTTCTTGCTCGGTCTTACCTGTGAAGGATTTGTTCTTATTATTATTGAAAATTTCAAACATACGTGAAAGAACAATGAGTTCCCATGTACCCACTATCCAGCTGCAACAAAAATCAATAAGAGCACTCGTTTCATCTTTATTCCTATGATTTCCCAACATAATATCATTTGTAAATACTTTAAAGGAATATTATTTAATAGCTATTTACCTCGCACTGTCTTCTAAGCAGAGATACAATAATTTTTTTTTCTGGAGGCATTTGCAAGCTTAGTGTTGCATCGTATATTTTTCCAGAAAGGTTTACATTAACCCTGTTGAGAAACATACACCTTAAGAAAGCCTCTCACCAATGGTAGTTGCTAAGAGTGGGAAATGGAAATTTTGTTGGCTCCCATGTATCTGAATACCTTCCAGTTTTAAAACCCTGGTTCTCAATGTAGTATGCAAGATCAGAAACTGACTTGAGTAAGCTTATGGTTTTTGTTTTTGATAACTTGATGATATTTTTTGTTTATCTTTTTATTGGAGTTCGATTTGCCAACATATAGTATAACACCCTGTGCTCATCCTGTCAAGTGCCCCCCTCAGTGCCCGTCACCCAGTCACCCCATCCCCCCACCCTCCTCCCCTCCCACTACCCCTTAGCTTGATGATTTCTTTTTTGTTTTGTCTCTTTGGGTTTAATCATTATATGATATGGTTCCAAAGATAGTGTGTTAGATCATTACAGACATTAGTATTTTTGGCAGATTTTTAAATTCAGAGTGTACTTTCTCACCAGAATGCACTACAAAATTTACTACATGGATATGAACGTATGCCTATGAACTAAAAATATGTCTATATATAATTTTCTAAAATAATTTTGTTGTTCCACATATATTACATTTGCAACTGTGTTCAGGCGCAGTAGGGATTCTCTGAAAAACCAATTTTCTCTTTCTTTCTAATAGATTTTAGGTTCTCAGGGCTGTTGGTAATGCTCAAACATGGCTATATATAAATATTTACTTAGATGAGGCTATGGTTCATTTATAGTAACAATCAGTTTCATTTAGTGGTTTAATTGCTCTCTTAAGACAGTACAGGCAGGGATGGCTCTAAGATTCTGGAAGTTAAAGAGCAGTCTTGCTGAGGAAAAGTTTGCAGCATTGGAGGGGTGAGTAGATTTTGTCAATAAGTAGGTACTTCAGAATTCAAAACACATTCTCTCAGCTTGCACATGACTGTACTGTGCAGGGGGACATTTACTGCTGGCTGGGTTATGCAGCATTATAAACGGGGCTCCTTGGAATTCTCCCTTTGCTACTCTGAAACGTACTTGAAATTTGCACCCAAGAAGTAAATGATCTTCAAAATCAGCCAGTCCTTTTGGAGTATGGAGATAGGCGATTCATTTGAATCCATGCTTTTCAAAGATGTGGGAGCCAATCAAGGCTCTTCTGCAGTGAGAAAAATGGATTCTTTTTATTGAAATCCCAGTTTCCTTTACAAGATGCCAGGGAGCACTGAGTTACAGGACTGCCATACAGCCTTTCCTTTATTCTTTCCGTCACCCTGGGCCACAGGAAAAAGAAAAATCTTTTGTCCTTATTTTCACAAGTTACTGCATGGTTTGGAAACTTCAGGGCTATTTCTCTCTCTTTTTTTAAAAAAAATATTTTATTTATTTATTCATGAGAGATACAGAGGCAGAGACACAGGCAGAGGGAGGAGCAGGATTCATGCAGAGAGCCTGATGTGGGGACTTGATCCCAGGACTCCAGGCGGAAGGCAGGTGCTAAACCACCGAGCCACCCAGGGAACCCCTCAGGGCTATTTCTCAAACTCTATTGGTGTTTGCCAGAAAAATCCTCTTTATCGCACAGACAGTTGAATGGAGGATAGTTTTGAGATGTTAATTTCCATTTATCGCACATAAAAGATACTTAAGGCATAAAGGAAACGTCTAACTTACAGCAGGTTCCAATTTTTGAGACAAACATCAGGGAGCCTGAGGCCATAAGCTTTAAATCCAACCAGTTAAATGTTTATTGAACACGTATTTTGAACGAGTCTGTTGAGGAAGTTTAAAAGTCTGAGATAAAGTCCGGTCCTCAAGTCAACCAGTCTAGTTAGCTGGGCAGACAAAACTGGACTCAGGGAACAATGCAAGGTTAAACAGTAAAACTATACAAGTACACTAGCAGTGAAAGAAGGCGCTGCACGGTTGGCTTACAGAGTGTTTCAGGCAATATATTCTGGTGGTGTTCGAATACAGGGATCACAGGGCTGGAAAACCCCTGAAAATCTTCACAAAGAAGGTGTGCATTGGACTGGATTGAAAACACAGGTAAGCATCAGATAGCCTTAAAGGGATGGGGAAGGCAAGTAGTCTTGAGAGTCAGGTTGCAGGAGTGGGGAGTGGGAGCGGTTAGAGGGGTAGCAAGGACCACACTGGGAGGTGCTTTGATGGGAATGCCAGGTGGGGAGGCTGAAGATTTCTCTTGTGGATCCAAGGTCGACAGTAGGTTTAAAATCAGGGGATTCCCCTTCCTTCCTCCTTTCTTTCTGTCCTTTAAAAGCAGAACCTGATTCGACAGAGACCTTCCCAGCTGCCAGGAAAGAAAGCGGCCGTCGGAGAGCTCACTAGTGCCCCTGGCCGCGGAGTCGTCCCTCCGGGGGTGGAGTCGGGGGAAGTCGAGGGATCCGGGCCAGGTAGCACCAGACCTGTCAGCAGCCTTACTTGGGCCCTGGTGAACACTGCTCGGCTCTCCGACTAAGCCCCGGGGTGAAAGGAGATCCCCCCACCCCCACGAGTGAAAAGCTTTTGCGGAAGCGCGCTCTCCATTCCCAGGTCTGGCGTTCGCCGCCGGCGGCTGCAGGGCTCCCGCCGAGCGCAGAAAAAAAGTGTCCTCTCCCTACATGGTTAGCGTTTTCAGGTTTCGTCTAGCTCCTGCTCACCAGAAACAGAAAATTAATCACGCTGATGAGAAGGCAGCCTGTCGCGCGCGGGCAGGGCCGAGAAAGGAACCGGCCCCCGCGCAGACGGGTCTGCGGAATCTGCGCGCAACCGCAGTGCCCGGGACGCGGGCTCGGTCGCCCGCCGGGAGGTGGGGACGCGAGCGGGACCCCGCGCTCCCCCGGCTCGCCTCCCGCGCAGCCAGCAGATGGCTCCCGGGCTCGCGCTCCCCCGCTCCCTCCTCGCTCCTTCCCCAGACGCAGGCCCGGGGCGGCCGGGCAGGGAGGCTGCGAGGAGGGGCGCCCGCCGCAGCCCGCCGCAGCCCCGCCGCAGCCCCGCCGCAGCCCCGCCGCAGCCCCGCCGCAGCCCCGCGCAGCCCCGCGCAGCCCCGCGCAGCAGCCCTCCTCCGGCGCGCCGGGTCCCAGGCCGGCGGCCTCCCGCGCGGAGGCCGGGCTCTCGCGAGGTGAGGCGGAGAGCAGGAGGAGGCGGAGGAGGAGGCGCGGGAGGAGCGGGAGGAGCGGGAGGAGGAGGAGGAGGAGGAGGAGGAGGAGGGCCGGGGCTGCCCCCGCCCAACCCCAGCCCGGCTGGAGCGCGAGGAAACCCTAGCCCCGCCGCCCCGCGCCGCTCTCCCCGCCCTCTCCGCACGCCTTCCGCCTTCACCTAGAGCCGTAGGTGCGCTGCGGGGCAGGGCTGGGCGGGAGCTGGCCGCGGCCGGAGCCGGAGCCGGAGCCGCAGCCGGAGCCGCAGCCGGAGCCGGAGCCGCAGCCGCAGCCGCAGCCGCAGCCCGGAATCCCGCGGGTCTCCGCTTCGCCGCCGGGAACTGCGCGGAGGCGACATGTAGCGGCGGCCGCAGCCGCTGCGGACCCACCTCGTTTCGGCAACTCTTCTCTTCTCTTTTCTTTTCTTTTTTTTTTGGAGGGGCGGGGGGCGCGGCAGAGTCGTATCCCCGCCCTCGCTTTCTTGCCTCCTCCCGTGCGCAACCTGCGTCTGCCTCTGAACATTGAGGTTCTCGGGGGAGGGCGGGGGGCCGCAAATCAGAGCCGCAGCGGCCCTGCCCGCGCGCCTGCAGGGCCACCATGACCGAGGAGGGCTCCGAGGTCCCCAGGGAGCTGACAGGTAAGGGCGCGCGGCCGCCGGCTCGCCTGTGCCCCTGCGCCCCTTCCCCGCGCCCCCTGCCCTCCTCCGCCTCCCGGCGGGTCCCGCGAAGTCGCGGCGCCCCTCAGGTCGCGGCTGTGCTGGGCGGGGCGCGGGCAACTTTGCTGGCGTCTCGCGGCCCGCGGAGCCGAGCCCGGGGTGGGGGGCGCGGGGGCCCGGGACCTGGGGGCGTATCGCGGCTGGCGGAGGAGGGTCAGGCGGCCTCGGGCGCGGGAGTCCTGGAAGCTAGGAGCACCCGGTAGGGCGATCAGGCCACTGCCCCGAACTCGGGGAAGTCCGGGGAGTGCCGGCGGGGGCGGGGTGGGGGCGAGCGGACCGCGGGTGGTCCCCTGCACCTGCTGGGCCACCCCCGCCCCCGCCGGGTAGCCCTCGGGGTGCTCCTCCGGCACGCAGACTCCGCGGGGTGGGGGCGCTGGTCTGGAGGGCGGACCGAGCCCGGCGAGGCGTGGCTTCGCCCAGCCGGCCGGGAGCGCAGGGGTTACACGGGTGACGCACGCTTGGGCCGGGAGACTGAGGGTTAATGGGACACGCGTATTTCATGATCATTAACCTACCCATTCTCCCCATCCCGAATCTCGGGGACCCGGTGTGCAGTCCCCAATGCAAGGTGACCCGTTGTTGGACTCCCTTGAGGGTTTCTTTTTTTTTCTTCTTTTTTGGTGCGTGGGGGGGGGGTTGGGCTGGATTTTGTGTCTTGGGGTTTAACTTAATTACGTGGAGGGTTAAAATGGCAAAGCTAAAATGAGGTGGGGATGAGTGTTCTCAAAACCCAACGTTTAAGCGTGCGTGTATGTATAGCACGTTGTATTTTAACAAGGTATGTGTGTCTGCGCGCGTGTTTCGAGCCCTAGGGAGCTCTATTCCCTACTGTCCCAGTCTTGGCACACCACCCAGAAAGGTGCTGTTTAATCCGGCTGACAGAGAAAGTCCTGCTTGCCCATTGATTTGCCTTTGAGAAATTTGCCCGTTTCTCCCCTTAGCGGTAATGCTTGGGGGGAGTTTGGGTGTGCTCTTCCAAAAGTGATTTAACTCAGCAGGTGACACTTGATGTGAAGAAGCTGTTGCTAGGTCTGTACGAAAGCATCCGCTTTTATTGAATTAAAAAATCCAAGACCCAAACTTCTCACCCAAATTTACAATGTGAAGTTATCCCCCCCTTCCCCCACTCTGGCCTCTTTTCTCTCCCCAAACCTGTGGAGTCGGCTCCTGAGATAAAGCATCAGCTGCTTTTGCTGGAGTGAGTGGCCCATCCGGTTCTGGGAGGCTGAGATCTTCCCAGCGCGCCCTACCCGGAAGAGGAAACTGATGCCCAGAGTCTCTGCAGATGTCTCCAGGAGTCCCGGGAAAGCTTAGGGGAGGGCTGGCTGCCCGGGCCAGGGGATCAGGGTAGGAAAAGAGGTGGGTAGATTTTTAAGCGAGTTGGCCTTGAGCCAGATGATGAAAAGTTTAGATAGTTACTTAGAATCAAGAGAGAAGGGAGGATGGGAGTTAGGTATCTGGTTTATGTGGATGGTTCTCAAATACTTTGATATGTTTTAAAAGTGAATTTAATCCTTATCTAGAAATGGAATTTGTGTGTTTACTGAGTCTAGCCCAGCTCACATATCTTTCAACCAAGTGACACATGCTTCTGTGACATGCCCAGTATGATTTTTCTGGGCCTCTCAGTGGTCTAATTAGGAGGGAACATTCCTGCACCTGCTTTTTTTTTTTTTTTTTTCTAATTTGAAGTGCTCACAGAGTTCTCCTCAGATTGATTCAAAATGGCAACCAGGGGAAAGCCTCAGTGTATTTATTCCCTTAAGCTAATTCCTGAGAACGTTTATTTATTTATTTTTTTCCTGAGGATGTTTAACACATGTGTATCTCTCTGATAGTGAAAGAAACAGACTTTTTCCTAAAAAAAATTTAAACGCTAAGAAGAATGAGTAGACGGTCAGTCATATTACCTCTCTGAGATCGCCTCTTGTCACCTTTTGATAAATGACTTTCCAGTCCCTTTCCATGTGTATACATCCTTAAGTCTATTCCCCCCTCCAAAGATTTACTTATTTATTCTAGAGAGAGAGAGAAAGAGCACAAGCGGGAAGGGCAGAGAGAGAGGGAGAGAGAATCCCAAGCGGACTCCACCACACCCAGCAGGAAGCCTGACATGGGGCTGATTCCATCACCCCGAGATCACCACCGGAGCCGAAACCAAGAGTCAGGGAGCTCAACCCACGATGCCACCCAGGCCCCACTCTTAAGTCTATTTCTGATGGCTTCTTTCCCACATACCTTTTTTTAGGGGAGGGAGGAGTAGTCTTTATCTGTTTGGAGCTCTGATAAGATCGGAGGTGCATAGAGACCTCCCAGCACAGTGAGGTCCGCTTTCCTGCCCACACATCCCACCTGTTGCTGGTCCCCCCATGAGCTGCATTTCTCTTGTTTCCATGTTCTTCCTTCTCCTTCTTCACTCTTCCCTAACTTGGCAGCTCTAAACTTTTGTGGTGGGTTTTCTAATAAGAATACTTGATTACCCCTTAATAAACATATTTACTTATTAAGCTACATACAAACTTCATTTAGCACGTATAACTTAAAACATAATCTGGATACCATTGCAGATATAAATAAAAATTCTATTTCCTTCTTGCACCTCAGTGGATTGTAGTGTACACTGCACTTTGGACCAGTGGTCTGTTTCCTACTCCTTCAAGATTCTGCTTAGGGGTCCCCTACTCCCTGAACCCTTCAGGAGTCTCCTTGTCCATGGTCTCACAGTGGTGAGTGCAGATTTGCCTAGAGGCGTCCGTCTGTATCTTGTAGATTGTAAGCACCTCTGAAAGGCAGGGGCCATCTGGATCCCAGGACCTGGTGGAACACTTGGAATCCCAGAGCTTATTCCTGTGTCCATGTATTTGTTGAATATATGAGTAAGCCAACATGATTATAATATAGAATACAGAGCTTTGGGAGTAGAGAGGAGGTTGCTATATTTTGAAGTTGAACATAGCCAGAAGGAGAATGAGAAAAGGCATCCCACGAAAGAGAGTAGGACATACAGAATCCTATTTTTTAAGATTGTCACAGGGGTGTGGAAGATGGAGATGGTAGGGATGATTGGATTATTATTAAGTATGTGTGCTGAGAAGTTAAACTGAAAAAATGTGAAAGACCTTGAGTGGCATGCTGCAGTGTTGGGGTCTATTCCAACATGACAGCAACTCCTAGAGCAAGAGTGATGTGATCAGACCTGTGTTTTTTTGGAGGGTCCCTTTGATTAGGGTGGGGACAGAGGGCTGATAGGTGGGATGTCATGGACTTGTCTTGGGGAGAGATTCTGAGTCCTTGAATGCAGGGTCAAGCCCAGGGGTCGGGAGCTGTTTAGTAGGAGGTAGTTCTCGGAGAGCAGGTGACTGGCTTTCTATCTGATTTGGAAAACAAGATTCATCATCAGTGGCCAGAGGAGTAGGGAAGGGAATGAGTTTGATTTGGGACCCGTTCCATTTGGGATACTCACTGGAGTCATTCCTGCCACCATCCAAATTTTGAAGTGTCCCCTTCTCTCTTGATTCCTCTTTTCCTGTTGTCTTTGACTACTTTTTGGGGTGTTGTGCTGTGATGCTACATTGTCCAGTCTGCTTCTGGTTCTTTGCCATATTTCTTAACTATCACGTTAGGCAGTCCTAGAAAAATACTGACATTTCTATGCCCCTGTGATGAACACAGAGGCTCTTAGGGGCTAGAGGTAACCAGCCAGGGGAGTTTATGAATTCCTGCTGTGCATACAGTCTGCACACAACACAGCACTCTGTGATACTGCTTGACGTTACTTGTGTTTTTCCTTGGGTGTGCATCCATTTGCCCAGCGAGATTATGTCACACCCTGCAAGAACTGGCTTCTGTCACATACTGGTGTATTTGCCTCCGCTTCTGAGCATACAATACAACACACCTAGTAGGTGTTCGTTAAATATGTGGTGACTGATCACTATCAGGCTTGTTACAGTGAGCTAAAAAAAAAAAAAATCCATAATAATAAAAACAACCAAAAGTACTCCTTCAAATGTTCTCCCCTTCCTAATGCTTTTTTCTTAGTAATAAGAGAATGTAATGAAAACTATTCCCTTCTTTCAGAAAGCATAAAGGATGTTATTGGCAGAAAGATAAAAATTGCAGTGAAGAAGAAAGTAAAGTTGGAAGTTAAAGGAGACAAAGTTGAAAACAAAGTGCTGGTAAGTATTCTCGTTTCTGAAAAGGCTTGGAAGTGAAAGTGTTTTTCGCCTTCGTTGTTTTGATTGCTTAATTTCCATGCAACTCAAGTGCTGTGTTTCTTATTTTGCTTGAAAGTTCTGAGGCCATTTTGTCCTGGATTAACTGGAATATCTGCCCCCAGAAAGGTAATGGTAGGATATTTACGTGTTCCAGATGGAAGTTTGAAACATTGTATTTTTAAAGATTGTCACAGTCACCCATGCTGAGATGATCTCCTACAGCCTGTTATCAAATTATTCAATTTGATGTGAAGTGGAGCTTCTTTATAGGTGTCTTTGTTGTGGCTGATTGTATGATTTCATTTGTGAGGACTTTGGGAGGAGTTTAAAAAAATTCATCTCATGTTGATTTAACTATGTAACTGAATGTTCTCAGGTGTTATATCTGAGTCCATCTCAAGGGGAAGAAGACACCTGTCATGTCGTGGGGACATTTGGTGTTTTGAAGGAAGATGCCTGGTGGAGGCAGTACCTGCTAGTGCTGAGATTGGACTCAGGGTCCCCCCCGAGCGTGTGGGAGAACTGTGGGGATCCAGGGATTGGACTGCATTGGGCACAGAGTCGGGGAGGGCATTGCCAGTGACTAGACTGCAGTTTTAGGGAGGTGTAATACCCTTTTTGGTATTATATTGGCTTCTAGGTTGAGGTTGTGGCAAACCTAGATTGAGCC